TTTTTAAAAGGGGGGAAAAATCACACCTTCTTTAGTTCATGGATTTGGAACAGTGATTTTTCTTAAAGACCTCCTTCAACCACAACTGCCTAAAATGTTTACCTTACTCAGAAAATTCTCAGAGTTCAAGAAAAGTGAAAGTATTAAATCACGTAAAACCAATTTAGTAAATGCGAAGTCCATACAGGAACCATATTATAAGAAAGAATATTCATCAGTGGTTGCTTTTCATCAATGTCCTGTGATTTAAGTTTATTATGTATTTATGGACAAATAATAGGTTATTTAGATAGCATCTTCCATCTGAAGACATTTCAGTGGTTTGCAAACTTGAGCCTGAGTTAACTGTTCAGTCTTTGGAGATGAATCATTCCTTTTGTTTAGCCCGTTGGTATAGTATTTAGATTAACTTGTAGGTTTGTATTTAACCTGACAAAATCCAAAGAGCCAGATCAGACATGTGCTGGCAGTCTTTTTCCTGGGGCCCGGACAGAGCTACATGCAGGGAAGAGGGCCTGAGTCATTAGTTTGTGATTAATGTTTGTAGAAAGTAATATTTCTACCATTTTATGGATGGAGCAACTGAGGCACTATGAGGTTAAGTGGCTTCCCCTCAATCAGCTTTCAGGAAAATCAGGCACGAATGCAAGCCAACCATGATTTTGTACTCAACTCTCAGCAATTTTAAATCTTACAGTTTTGAAAGTTATAGTTCCTGTACCTGCCCATGGGCAAGTTGCAAACCGGAAGTTGAAACTAAAATGAGAGGATGTTGCCAATCATTTTCTAGGGGAAGGGAGGGACCAAGGAAGGTTTGCTTTGGCTAACAGAGCTGCCTTGGGGGCTCTTATCCCCATGGATCCAGTCTCGGACCGGCTGGCTCTCTGCTGATCCCCAAAGGCATCTGTCCATGAGGATTCAATCAGGCTCAGGGCTGCTGGCCGGGGTGGGGGGCAGGGGGACTGTAAATCTGGGAAAGCTGCAAGTATTCAGGGTCTTGAACTTTATCAGGTTTGAATGTGTGATTGTGAAAGTAAAGAGCAGAGAAATGACAGCACTCAGTAAATCAAACGTAGAGAAGATCAGGACTGTCAGAGACAAGAGAAAAACAGGCTCCGGGCACAAGCCCCACTGAAAACCTGCAGGCAGGCAGAAGACTTTTATGTTCCCTCCAGACTGTGCCTTCTGAAAAACAAATCTCTTCCCCTGTCATTTTATCTAGAGAACGGTATTCTTTGCTTCGTCCCACAGATTTATGTTTTCATTACTGAAGCTGAGATCCTGTTTTAGAAGATGGGGTGCTACACGGAAAAAACAAAAACCAAACAAATCAAACCCCCAAAACCAACAACCCAGAAAGAAAATCAGTTGAAAAAATGGCTGGGAATGACATAGATTTTCCTCTATCAATAATGTGTTCCATAACTTCTAACTTTATTTTTCTATTTCTTAACAAGATGGGACTAAAGTTAAAAGTTTCCTGCAAATACAGCAATACCAAACTGAAAGGTACAAAGCATGAAGAGTATAGAAGTATAATCAGATGACCAGGTCCATTTAATTAGCCCCCACCCTCCCTTTTATCTAATGCCAGCCCACAGGTTGCTCTCCTTCACGGTCCCATCTGTTAACTCACTGCTGTTGCCAGAAAGTTGTTCTCAGGGAGGGGTGCTGCTGAGGACTGGGATACTTTTCTCAGGGGATGAGCCTCAAGATTACTATCTTTGTCAGGATTACTATCTATATTGTAATAGACTCGCGTGTACTAGAGCAGATTTCAATTTCTTGTGTGACCCAACTGTTCCCCGGAGCTAATTAATTTCCAGGAAAGAGGATGTTAGAGTCTGCTGCTGGGATTTGCAAAGGGAACAAGGAATGTTTCTTCAAAGGAACCAAAAGCCAAGTAAAGGATCTATGTTTGTCTCACCCCACCCCTTTCTACTATAATGCAATAAATAAAATCCTCACTGCTGGTACAGAGAATGCCTGAGATCTTTAATGAATGGCAGGACTTAAAGTTGAAAGGGTGCTCAAAGTAGTTCTTCCCAGGAAATTAACCAGCTCCAGGGAACAGTTGGGACACACAACAAATTGAAATCTGGTGTAGTATAGGAGTCTAATACAGTATAGATACTTAGTAATCTTTTAATCCCCTAACAATCCTGTAAGGCAGGTACTTTTTTCATCCCCATGTTACAGATGGGAAAACTGAGGCACAGAGAAGTTGGGCGATTTGTCCTGGTCATACAGAATGTGGTGGGGTCAGGTTTGAAACCTATCTCAATTGCCTCAGTCTGTGTCAGAGTGACTCCCTTCTTTACAAACTCACTGTGAAGCCTACAGAACATGAGGTTGGGTCCTTTTTCAGAGAAAGGATCAAGCATCTTCCTCCATCTTTGAGGCTCTACAGAAGTGCCAAACTTCTAGACTGTAAACACTTCAAAACTAGTTGCTAATCCTTCTAGTTCTTCTTTGTGCAGTGTACGTGCAGTGCTGTGGGGCAAGTGCAGGAAACTGGAGGGCTGCATATGGGTACACAACTCTTGGTCCTATTCTCTGCATATTTGTAACATAACTGAGTTCAGAGGTCATAGTTCTGGGGGCAAATGCAGTTATTTTTTTATTGGGGGCACTCCCCCCTTTAATTGACTTGAGGAGCATTACCTACTTAGCAAACGTCCAAAAACTTAAACAGGTCTCTGAGCTGAGACAGCTCTGGGGCAGTGTCATCTGGACTCTGACCCTGGAATTGGCATTGTCTGCACATCTACCAGCAACTCCAAGGAAAGCCTGGGGCCTGTCTGTCTAGTGTGTTGGAAATTTCTGTATCTCGTTCCCCTTTTGGGGAGTAGAAATGGTCCTTTTCCTTCCGATGCTCTGAGTTTTCCTATCCCAGGAGGCTGGGGTGGTGGTGGTGCTGCTGCTGCTGATGGTGGATGGATTAGGTAAGACGGATGGTTTTGGAGTTCACCTTATTTGGAGCGGGGCAACGAGGAGAGAGAGGCAGATTTCACTTCCGGGGCCCAGAACGGGGTGACAAACTGAAGAAGTTGGTTTGCCTTTAGAATTCACACTCCTGTCTCCAGCTTCACCACAGAGCACAAGGGGATGGCAGAAGATACGGGAAGAATCTCCTGGGCAGGGAAGTCAGTGCAGTCTCTGATCTACCACCCTGAGGTTCTTACCCACACATACTGCAAGGTGGTAGGAGAGGCTTCCATGTGTCTTTAGAGTATAGGGGAATGCTACCAAAGAGGAAAAGAAATGACTCAGTGCAGAAACTCCCAAAACATAGCCCCTGGCTCCCCAAGATCAGGAAAGTGGATATTCCCTGCTTCACCTTTAGTGAAAGGGAAGGGATCCCCGCAGGAGCAGGGCCTCAGCCAAGCTGGCAGCCCTTGGCTTTGTGTGGTGATGCCAGTAGTAATTAATAATGATAATAAATACCACACTTCATAACCAAACCCAACCTGGGGATGACTGAAAGGCCGGACCTCTGCCTCCCACCTGCGCGCTCTTGCTCTGGGAATCCACACCCTCCCCATTAGCCTCAGTCTAATTTAGCTGCCCAGTTCCACCCACCAGGTTCTGACCGGGGTTCAAAGGGAGTTCTGCTCCCAACGCCCAGTCATGTGGAGTAACTTGGACCCTCGGCAAACCCGCAGGGAGTGAGGGTGGGAAGGCAGGGGTGGATTGCCTACAGTAGTATTCAGCAGCAGAAAATAATCAAAAGGGATAGTAATTCAGGTCCTAATGAGCTCGGTTTAGTTTTTCTGCCAAGTGCAGGGGGTCTGTTTTCAGAGCCCAGCCGGGTGAGGCCTGAATTTCCACGGCTCCTGGGACCATGGGGCCTGGCACCCCCAAGCCCGGCCGCCTGGGGACCTCCGCGACGGACGCAGGTCTCGCCGGGCCCGTGGAGATCTGGCCAGCGAAGCGGAGATCTCAAGGCGTCAGGACGCAACCAGGCCGCGGGGAGGGAGGCCGGCGCCGTGTGGAATGTCTTTATCGGGATCAGAGAGCCACAAGTTTCTCCTTCGCTGCTTTAAGCGATCACGGATAGACACCTTTCGATCTTTTGTCAGACATCTTGGCCCTTAATAGCTAAATTTATTTGGTTTAAAGCGGCCGTGGGAGAAGCCGGGGGTGGGGGGGAAGATCTTTCGTCGGTCATGGGTGGCCTAGATAACAGGCTTTAAAAGAGGGAGGGAAGAAGAAAGTAAAAAGGTTAATGGATGAGGGGAGGGCTAGGAGGCGCCCAGCGTGGGGCTTTTACAGCGACCCTCCTCCCGCCGCCCCCTTATCTCGGCCCTAACTTACCCGCGGCGTATGAAATACATTAAATCACGTAAACAGCGCGCGGGGAGGAATGCCACCGCGATGACCTCTCGCGCGCCGCCGCGGCGAGCCCACCTCCGCGCCGTGCTGGCGGCCGCTGGCGCGGGGCGGCCCGGGACTGCGGGGCCGGGGGCGGCCGGGCCGGGCCTGCAGCCGCCGCGCGCCGGGACGCGATGCAGACCGCGCGGGCTTGCCGCTGGCCGGGCGAGTTCCTTACCCGAAGTGGCCGGCGGCGGGAAAAGGGGGCGGGGAGCGGGGGGGGGGGCGACCCAATTTTCTAGGCTGCGCAGTTTTCGTGCCCTCCCACCCCCGGCACCATCTGATATTTCTAACGTGTATTTTTGGGCTTTGAGGAATTAAAACAAAACAAAACAAAACAAAACAAAACAAAACCACCCGTCCTCCCCCACCCCAAACACCGTCAGGACTCTCCGCAAGCGCCTGCACTGGACTGACAGCCGCTGAGTCCGAGAACAGGCCGCCCGACCCGACTATTGGGCCCCGAAGGATGGCTGGGGTGGGGGGACGCTGGGGTGGGGGGACACCAGGGTGACCCCTGTCCTTCAGCAGAAGCGTCGCAGGGACGGTAAGAAATCCGGTATAGGCAAGAAGGCCCTAGAGATGTGGCTTTGTAAAAACTCAAGTTTAAAACTAAGTCACAAATTCTCAAGTGTCGCTAGAGCAGCGGGGAGCTTTGGGGGAACTGACAGCGTAATGAGCTTAAGTTTGCAGGGGTCAAGGCGTGTCGTTATGCGGGCCCCCGCTCGGGTGTCATAGCTCCTCTGGAAGCAGAGCGTGACTGGGTCCCCAAACATCCCCTCGCATTTAGCAACAAAGCCTCCGCCCCCTGCCCAATTGGCTGCTCTATTCTGGCTGGATTCGAATCGCGAAGAGTAGTGTGGTGGCGCGCCCCAAATAAATCAGCCCTGGGGACAGGTCGCGCCCCAGAGCCAACAACTCTCCTGAGGACGAGGAGGGAGGCTCGAGGACGGAAGGCACACTCCGGAGGGACCACTCCTTGAGTCTAAATAGTCAGGAGAGAAAAAATTTCGTTTAAGATTAGCAATCCCTCCACCCCCAAAGGAGACAGGCAAAAGAAAAAGGAGAAAGAAAAGGAAAGGAAAGGAAAGGAAAGAAAAGAAAAAAAAAAAAAAAAAAAAAAAACCAGGAAGAAAATAGAACTGTTAAGAGCCTATTTACTGGTGAACTATGGGGGGACTTCTCCAGTTCTTGGGATTCCTCCCTAGTTTAGGGTACACTTCTTTCCTCCGCGTTCCCTATGATGCCCGCCTTCCCGGACCAACTGGGGTACTCACAGGAAACTCAGAGCGTGGAACCTGGGAACCCCTAGGGGGTGGCTTTGAAAATGTGCTGTTCCTCCCCACCCCAGGAGTGGAAGTTTTCCCCGGGGCCAAATCCAATTCTTCGGGAAAATGGTAAACTGGATGGGTCAGGCTTTACTTGCCTTTCTGCCTGAAGAAACTCTGCGGGTTTAAACAGTTTTGATTTTAAGTTAACTAAAAAGAAAAATATTTTACTATCCATTCCCTCCTTTAGTTGGAAAACCAATCTAAAAAACTGCTACCGTGCAAAGGAGCAAATTACAACCTCCCACCCTTGCTTTAGGCAGTGTTAGACTGGGAATCAGGAAAGTAAAAAAAAAAAACAAAACAAAACAAAAAAAAACCAAAACCGGGTCCCTTCTCGAGCCCTTAGAAACGACAGGCTATAGTCAGCGTTTGCCCCTCTCTGTCTTGCTCACCTCTGTCCCAGCGGTCCCAAGGCCAGCGCACCCTCTCACAACCACTGCGAAGCTGTGGGAAAAGCAGGTCCCTAGGGCTTTAGCTGTTGTCCAAGGAAATTCACACAGACACCTTCATACTTGCTAATATAAAGAAATACAACAGGAACCAATTTCAGGGCTAGGTTTCCTCAGGGCTCAGGCTTGGAGGCCGTTCACAGCTTAAAATCTAAAGAGAATTTTTGAAAAACTCATTTCTATTGGAAATCACCTCACTGAGATAATTAAGAAAAAAACCAACTGCTTTCAAGAGTAAAACCGAAAAACATTTGAAAACAGTTGGACTCAAAGGAAAGTCAAACGTACACAACGTTTCTGTATCTGCTGACAAATGAGCTTCTGAAAAACTCAAAATTTGGTCGGAACTCAGGCAAAAGCCAAAAGAGAAGGCTTTGGAAGCCTTGGTTAAGTGGGAGGTGGACACCGGGTCATCTCTTCTGCTAGTTCCATTCGATCGAACTCAGGTTAAATTTTAAAGTCCTGAATCCTGCTCCGGTGCCAATCTCTGTTCCAGAGTTTTCCACCTTCACTCTTCCAGAATTGTGGCCACATTGAAACTGGGAGCCACCACAGGGATTGGGGAAAGCAAAGAGGAACGTAGTAAAAGTGACGAAACTGGATGAGAACGGTTTAGGGACCGCCGTAAGAGCAGTTTAAAATTCTAAGTGTTCAGCAGCAATTTACAACGAAGAATGGAAAAAAAGAATTCAACTTCCTCGATTTCGCTCTCTTCCCCTCACTGCCAGGCCCTGTCCCCTTCTCCCCCTAGAATAGACAGGCTCACAGTTCACATTTATGTTGAGAGAAAACATACGTTTAACGACCAGGTCTCACAATCTCTCAGAATCATTATTTTACAACGCCCCTACCTACCTACGCCGGTTCAACTCTGCGTAGGCTCCTCTCCCCTCCCCCAACTGGAAAGACGCAAAATCAAAAACAACACAGAAACAACAACAACAACAACAAACCCCCCAAAGAACCCAAAATCCTTCTAGGGAGACTGACCTTTAGAAAATCATTTAACATCGATTTACCTGGGAGAAAAATGTGAAATGCAACCTCACAAAGCAACTCCTGCTGCCCTAGTTAAAATTCTCTCTCCGCGGCCTTCTGGGGTCGCGTCTGTCGGAAGAAATCTTTTTGTGAGCCAAAGGGAGCGGAGACATATATCACTGCTCCTGCGGCGGACGAACCCGCAGCCGCGCGCCTCGCTGCTGACAGATCCGCGCTGATAACCCCGCGACGTTCATTTCCAGTCCCTTTGCCGGCTCAGCACCGTATCAGTTTGTACACAGTTGTGATAACCATTTGGAGGGAGCGAAGAAGGGGTGTGTATGTGAGGGTGAGGGTGGGGGCGGGGAAGCGGTATTTCCCGCTGGGTCCAGGGAAGGTGAACCCCCTCCCCCCTTTCCAACGACTTATCCGGAGACTTACCTGAAGTTTTCTCCAGGATAAGCTCAGAGCAAACGGGACACGAAAACGTGGAAAGCACCTCGGGACGCGACTGGGGTGGAAGCCCTTTTCATTACGCGCACCTCTGGGGACTAGACTTTATGTATACCACTACCCCGAATTAAAAGTTCCCGAAGGTTAGCTGATGTGTCGATGTAAACGTCCCGAAACCTCCTAGGGATTTTGTCTGTTTCTAAAAAGCAGGGCAGAGACAGGGAGCTGAGCACTGGAGTTCCTTCTTTCCCGTATCTTTGGAACCTCGATCCCCGACGGTCACCACGACCCAGGGGCTCGATTAGAGGTCGGTGAAAGTTTAAGGTAGTTCACATACAAAGGCAGAGAGCATAAAGCTCTTTTAACGTGGACTGAGGAGCGGGGAAGACCCGAGGAGCAAAGCACTTTCCCCCTCATTCTGGGGGCACACTGACCCGAAAGCTGGAGCTTCCCTCCCGCCTCGATGGCTGCGCTGGGCTGTGCACAGCCAACTCCTCTCGTGCTACCCCCCCCCCCCGCCCCCGTGAGTGCGTGTGTAACTGGGGGCGGAGGAAAGTGCTGCGCCGGGTGGGTGTGGGTCGCCAGCCAGGTCAAGCCTTCCGCCACCTCTGCCCTTCCCCGGGTGTCCCAGGACTCGGCACCCCCTCGATGGACTGGCCCCCTCCCAGGAAGGTACTCGCAGCTCGGCCCACACCCGCAGGCTGCGCGGCGCTCATTGTCTGTTGGGGTGGCGCGCTCCCCTCCCCCCGCCGCCCGCGATCCCCTCCCCACCCTCTTTTCTCTCCTCCCCTCGCTCCCTCCTCCTCCTACTCCTCCTCTTCACCTCCAGCGCCCAGCTGCTCGCACAGCGCAGTTCCGACCCACAGCCTGGCACCCTTCGGCGAGCGCTGTTTGTTTAGGGCTCGGTGAATCCAATCAGGAGCGCAGGCTGCAATTTTCCGGCAGAGCAGTAAGAGGCGCCTCCTCTCTCCTTTTTATTCACCAGCAGCGCCGCGCAGACCCCGGACTCGCGCTCGCCTGCCGGCGCCCACAACCTCTCTCCACGCCCGAGAGCAGTCTCCGTCGCGGCCGTTCTCCATGCGCAGCGCGCACTCGAGGTTCGGCTGCTTTCTCGCTTGCTCGGGCTCCCCTCTTTCCTTCCCTCTCCCCCCGCACCCGTCGCGGGCCCCTCTGCCCCAGGCTATCCGACTCTCTGCGGGCCGCGGTTGGCTATGAGGTGTCTCCCTTCTGTCGTGGCTGGCTGTAGCGACTCCCAGGTTCCCGGGACACCGTGGACCAACTTCTGCTGTCTCTTCCTCTCCCCGAAGCGCTTATCTGCGCGCAGCCTTATCTCCGAGTTATCTGGCGCAAAGGGGCGGGAGCCGGCAGTCAGGCGGGCAGAGAGATTTCTTCCTTGCTATCTAGCCCCGGTCTGTGTGTGGGCATTAATTTTAGTACGGTTATCTCGGAGGAGTCGAAGCGATTTGGAAAACCAGTTCGGAGGAGGCCCGTCCGGCTGCATTTCGTCTCCCTACCCCACTCCCTCCGAGTCTCCCCCTCTTTTCTCCCTGCTCTCCTCTTTGGGGGTTAGTTTCGGCCGAGGGGCGGTCTCACGTCCCCCCCCCCTTTGCATTTCCCCCTCCTCCTTTTCTCTGCGCTGCGCTCCACCCCGCTACGTCCGATTCCGGAACGGTCTGGCCTTTTCGGCGGCTGGGGATGACCACGGGGTGGGCGGGGGTGGTCCAGCCGGCGTGAGCGCACGCGCTGGTGACTGCAGACGCCAGCCTGGTGTAAGGTGTGCGGCGCCACGGGGAGGAGGGTTGGGCGTGAGACTGCGGCCCCGCGGGCACGCAGCAGTGCCTGGGCCCGGAAGGTCAGAGACTCGTCTCCGCCCCGGCGCCCCACCTTCCCTGGGCTGGATCGTACTTCTCTCCGGAGCTCGCGTTCTGTCCCGTCAAGCTCAGTCAGGGAAGCTCTGGGAAAGCCAGTGTGAGAGAAGGCGGCGGTTTCGTTTTCGGGGACAGGTTGCCTTTTTTAGGCTAATGATTTTTGCGCGGCTAGACTTCACACTGAGGCATTTCATGCCGGGGGCATCCATAGGGAGGCGGGAGAAGGCAGCGCCGACAGACACAACTACTTAAAAAATTCTTTGTGTGTCAGCGGCCGAGAGGGAGCCACTTCGGGGGCGGAAGGAAAACGGCGGCTAGTCTCACCGTCACTCCTGGGATCTGGCGCGCACAGATGGAGGATGCTGCGGAGGGGGGTGGGCGGGAAGGCGAGGGGACCCAGGCGGTGCAGACGAGGGAGAGCGGATATCCCGGTCCTGGGAGGACCCTGAGGCGGCTGTCCAGGCTCCGATCCCCTTCTCTCCCCATTTCCCGCGCCCGGGACATCAACGGGATGTTTGAGGATTCCCATTAGCTAGAAAAGGCAGTGGGAATGAGGTTTTATGCGGCCTACGGTTCTCGTAACTTTTCTCCCCCTGTTCTTGCCTCTCCTCACTCCGCTTCAGGAGCTAGAAGTTAGCTTGGAGAGGCGCCGGACCGTGGATGGCCTTGACTGACGGCGGCTGGTGCCTGCCGAAGCGCTTCGGGGCCGCGGCCGCAGACGCCAGCGACTCCGGAACCTTCCCAGTGCGGGAGCCTTCCACGCCGCCTTCCCCCATCTCCTCCTCTTCCTCCTGCTGCTCCCGGGCTGGGGAGCGTGGCCCCAGCGGCGCCAGCAACTGCAGGACGCCGCAGCTCGACACGGAGGCGGCGGCGGGACCCCCGGCCCGCTCGCTTCTGCTCAGCCCGTACGCCTCTCATCCCTTCGGGGCTCCCCACGGACCTTCGGCGCCCGGGGTCGCTGGCCCCGGGAGCGCCTTGTCGAGCTGGGAGGACTTACTGCTCTTCACTGACCTCGACCAGGCCGCGACCGCCAGCAAGCTGCTGTGGTCCAGCCGCGGCGCCAAGCTGAGTCCCTTCGCACCCGAGCAGCCCGAAGAGATGTACCAGACCCTCGCCGCCCTCTCCAGCCAGGGGCCGGGCGCTTACGACGGCGCGCCCGGCGGCTTCGTACACTCAGCAGCCGCCGCCGCCGCCGCTGCAGCCGCGGCCAGCTCCCCGGTCTACGTGCCCACCACCCGCGTGGGCTCAATGCTGCCCGGCCTGCCGTACCTGCAGGGGGCGGGCAGCGGGCCCGCCAACCACGCGGGCGGCGCAGGCGCGCACCCCGGCTGGCCTCAAGCCTCGGCCGACAGCCCTCCGTACGGCAGTGGAGGCGGTCCGGCGGGCGGCGGGGCGGCGGGGCCCGGGAGCGCTGGCTCCGCCGCGGCGCACGTCTCTGCGCGCTTCCCGTACTCGCCCAGCCCGCCTATGGCCAACGGCGCGGCTAGGGACCCCGGGGGCTACGCTGCAGCTGGTGGCGGGGGAGCCGGCGGCGTGAGCGGCGGCGGCGGCGGCAGCTTGGCGGCCATGGGCGGCCGCGAGCACCAGTACAGCTCGCTGTCGGCCGCGCGGCCGCTGAACGGGACGTACCACCACCACCACCACCACCACCACCCGAACCCCTACTCGCCCTACGTGGGTGCACCACTGACCCCCGCATGGCCCGCAGGACCCTTCGAGACCCCAGTGCTGCACAGCCTGCAGAGCCGCGCGGGAGCCCCGCTCCCGGTGCCGCGGGGCCCCAGCGCAGGTAAGGGGGTATCTGCTGCGTGGGAGTGGGGGCCTGAGGCTCTGGAGCGGACCGGGGTGTGGAACACCTATTTGACGTGGGTTTTTGTTCAAAGGGCTTTTCTGTTTTTGGTGCCTAGAGGTCGGTCGAGCCCCAGGGAGGATTTGCAGAACTTTGGCAGGCCCACCCCAGAGTCTAGCAGTGTCGATGAGGTGCTTCTGTTTTGTGGATTGTTTCGGTTCCTTTCCACGAAGGAGGTTTAGGGCGCGTGTACGTCTCACTACCTTGGAGAAGCTCGAGGGGCTTGAAAAGTGAATGGGGTGGGCAAATCGGAGGAAAAAGGCCTGAGAAGGAACTTGTCACCGTCTCTAGTTCGCCTTAGTGGAAGAATGAGACTCTTGGCGGGGCTGGGGGGTGGGGGGGTGTAAGTTTGGGAGGGTGTTGGGCAGTTGCTTCACACTCCCTTCAAATAACAGTTTTTGCTAGTTTAATTCTGTAGAGGTGAGGAATTGTGTTTCTCTCAGGGAGGATATTTAAGAACTCCAATGTGGAAAACATGCTAAGGAGCCAGTTGGCTTGGTCCTCAGTGAGAGAGGGAGGGAAGAGGGTACCTGGACTGGTCAGCCTTGTGACTATCCCAAGGGAAAGCTGGTGGAGGGACCCTTTTGCTTGACATGTCTGGAGTTGGTTCTGCTGCTGGACCCTGCCAGCCCTGGGAATCTGGGATCATGGAGGTCCCACATCACTCCCAAGTCCAGAGTTCAGCCCGCTACTTTCTAAGGTTTTCCATGCCACCCGTAGCCTTTCTTTCAGTGTTTGGGGGCAATGCGGAGTGAACTGGGAAAACACAATTGTCAAAATACCTGGAAACACCCCACTGTGAAAAGTGTTTTTTTGCTCAAGCAGAGATTATGAACTGTGATGTCTGGCCTGACAAGGCAGTATTTTGGGTTCTTCTAGGTGCTTTCGTGGGTGTCTGTTTTTGTATTTAACCTGTTTGATAACATGATAGACTTCCAAGACAAAATCTTGTTGGGGGCGACGGGGGCTAGTTGTTTGTTTGAGGGGAGGTGTGAGAGAGAGGTGGCAAAGAGGCAGGAGACATGTCAGCCTAAATTATCCTACCTGGTGTTTTCACACTCCAGGTCTGGGCTTTTCCTGGGAGCCTCAGTGTTCCTTTTTGGGAAGACAAATCTTTCAGGGGCCCTAACTAGTGGAGTGAAGTGATGAATTGCCAGCCTTGTGTTCAGAAGGCCTACTGGAAAATGCCAGGGGCCTGAAAGCGAGGATGTGACTTGAATCCTCCTCCTAGTAACACTGCGAGGGGGGCAACAGGCTTTTTGGTAGCAGGTTCTTCTCCTTTTCTGTTTCCCAAGATTCTGGTCTCAGAATTCCCTCCTCTTTTCCTGTGCAAAAGTGGCCCTGGAGACCGTCTTTACCATCGTGGAGAGTGGGTGTGGAGGGCCCTGTTGGAGTAGAGACTGGAGAGCAGAGCATTGTTACCCGTTGGGCAG